GTATGTGTAGAAACCTGAATTTGGTCAATACTCGATCAATACTCGAGTAGATTTTATATGTATACCCGATCAAGTATGTCGGTGTACTCGATCGGGTATGACAATAGAACGTGGCCAAATCTTTCCTTGCATGTTCATTTGTTCCCGGATCGGATCCTTGAAAATCAGTATTGGTACTCGATCGAGTATAAGGTATACTCGACCGAGTATACCCCAAAATCAGGAGTTTTTCCTTCTTTTTGTCTTCTACTCTTGCACCTTCCTTCACCTTTGATCATTTGATTGATCTTGGACCTGTTTAAGCTCAGAATAAACCTAATCTAAACAAATTACAAGAATTTAACAAACTAAACTATTACACCGACAGTGTGTAATTTCCGAAATATTAAACAACCAAAACTAACTAAAAACGTAAATAAACACACGGAAATTACAAACGTATCAACTAGAATTAGAACTTCCACCAACACAATCAGAGTATGTAACAACATAATCAGCATATAACTCAATGAGGCCAGACTTCACTTTGGCAAAAAACAAGGCACCATTTTTTTCACCATATAAAGCATTGAGCTGAAATGGCATATACTCATACTTGTCCCTAGGGTCTAACACATTAGCAAAGAAGATCAAGGAGTTCATTTTATCAGGATCTCCCCAGTACTTGTCCAACTTTGCTTTCATAGTAGTCCCCATTGCACTGACAGAAGCAGATGGAGAGGCAACCATGTCTTTTAGGACAAGGAACAAATCAGATATTTCAGAAAAGAAGGTATTGGAAGTAACATAGAGTGCGCCAGAAACTCTAAGAGTCAATTCATAAAAATTTTGTAAAATGGTCACAAAAGTTTCAACTGCAATCCAGTCTAAAACATCAGGAATGTCACTACCCAAATCAGTACCAAATGCACTCTCATTCTCCTCATACGCTTCAAACACTTTCTCATTAGAAATAACAGATTTAAGCATCAGGTAAGTGGAATTCCACCTAGTTGGAACATCCAGGTGCAAACCACACTTAGCTTCCACTCCTATCAAGTTAGATATATCTTTGAACTTCTGCAGTCTAGCAGGTGAGTTCCTAACATACTTAACAGCTTCCCTAATTCTCTTAACAGAACTATCAGCATCTTTAAGCCCATCTTGGACAGCTAAGTTCAAAATGTGTGCAATGCAACGCATATGAACATACTTGACTTTCACAGAAGAAGCACCCCAAGACATCAATTTTTTCTTAAAAAACCCAACAGCAGTATCATTACTACTAGCATTATCTACTGTGACAGTGAAAATGTTTCTCAGACCCCACTCAAGCAAACAAGTCTCTAGGGCTTTAGCTAGGTACTCCCCTTTGTGAGAAGTGACAGGGACAAAGGAAATGACTCTTTTCTGAAGCTTCCACTGATCATCAATGAAATGAGCAGTTATACACATGTAATTTATCCTCTGTACAGAGGTCCATGTATCAGTGGTAATACTGACTCTTTGACTGTGTTCCCTGAACATCTTTTTTTGGATAAGTCTTTCATCAAGGTATATTTGATAGATGTCTCTAGCAATTGTCCACCTAGAAGGTATTACAAATCTAGGACATGCTACTGACATAAACTTCCTAAAACCTTGTCTGTCTACAAATCTAAAAGAAAGCTCATCAATGATTAGCATTTCTCCTAGAGCTCTCCTAGTAGCATCTTGATCAAAGACCCAGGTTCCTATGACCCCAACATTTTCAGAAGGTTGACCATGCTGTGGAGGGACTGATTGAAAGGTTAAAAGGGCCTGTCTAGTGTCTTTAGCATGAGGGTTTTTTAAGCAGCTAAGCATGTGATTCCTGATGGAGGAAGTACCATGCTTTTTTGAGTGACAACAATAAATTTTGGCACAATAATCACACTTGCCCTTAATAACCACACCGTTGCTATCCTTAATCTTGGAAAAGTGCTCCCAAATCTTAGATCTGACTGTATTGACTTCAACCTTTTTCCTTTTTTGTCCAGAAACAGGAGGTGGTTCTGTGACTGCAGATGGGTCATTGGTAGTGTTAGGATCACCAATTTCAGCTTCCACCACTGTTTCTTGACTCAAAAGAGGTTGACTTCCAGATAAAGATATGTTCACACTTTCAGGAGTTTGACCTTCCATCTATGCACATAATATCAGGGTAGCTTCCACTCATCATGAATTCATCATACATGATAGGCAACATATCACACATTCATAAACAAGCAACATTTTATGTCATATAGTTAAGATTACACCTCAAGTAACACCATACATGATACACTAAGTCTGGAACAATCAGCAAGATGATCTACAGAAGGATAATATGCATTGTGCATAATCACTTCTCTACAGACTTGGAAGAAACCAGTCAACTCTCATTACTCCTTTGAGTACAAGAGTAAAAAAAGGCTTCTTCATCAACAATCAGTACATAAGTGCAGGTATCTACAAATAGGCAACACAATAGACATTCAGAAATGAGAAATAGGCAACCCATTGACATCATAAGCTTCCACATGATAAGTGATGTTTATCAGTTTATGTCATATAGTTAAGATTACACCTCAAGTAACACCATACATCATACACTAAGTCTGGAACAATCAGCAAGCTGATCTACAGAAGGATAATATGCATTGTGCATAATCACTTCTCTACAGACTTGGAAGAAACCAGTCAACTCTCATTACTCCTTTGAGTACAAGAGTAAAAAAAGGCTTCTTCATCAACAATCAGTACATAAGTGCAGGTATCTACAAATAGGCAACACAATAGACATTCAGAAATGAGAAATAGGCAACCCATTCAGTCATTCACATCATAAGCTTCCACATGATAAGTGATCAGATGTCATTGTACATTCAGAAAACAAGTAACCAAATAACCAATTCATGTTGACATGTCTAGGTATAAGACAAATAATAATATCATACCAGGGTGGCTTCCACTCATGACTCATCATCAATTCATCATAGTATATTAGTATTATGGGCAAGACATTGCAGATTAAAACAATAATACATCATAACCAAAACAGATTATTGACATTGTACATTCAGAATTCAGAAAACTCTCAAGTCTCAACCAAATCACTTAATAAGTAATTCATCATCATTCTAAGGTGTTCACACAGTGACACTCAAAATTCAGAAACACCCATTTCATCATCACTCTGATGTACAAAGTCCACAAACATGTCAAACAACAATACCTTATTCAAGCTTCCACATATCAGTATATCACATATGCATATACAATTACACATTTACACAGAATACAAGCATACATTGGGTCAAACTTCAATTTCATCATCAAACAATGCTTCCACGTTCCAACATGCAAAAGTATTTATTATTTTATACCTCAGCGACTCAGTGATTCTCAAAGCTTAAGGAAAATATAATATATTGGGTCACACAACTGCAGAAGGACAGAGTTTAAGGATTTCGGAGTTCGGACTATGGGCTTGAGGGCTTCCACAGTTCCACCGGAACAACAGTCCACCACCCACAGAACCACGCACTCGTCTATAACTTTCTCAATTCTCAGAACACAGATGGACTGCAACAGATGAAGATAAACCAACATATCAAGTATCAAAGACAGACATAAGTCATAAATTCATAATACGAATTACGAACCGAGAAGTCAGAGATAATCATACAAACAAACAAGTGTAGAAGTAGAGAAGTGCTTTACTCAATCGGCTCAGACAACAATCTTGGCTACCCAGCAACGAGCCAACGACGGCCTAGTCTGAGAGAGTGAGAGTCAGAAAAGTAGAGAACCGAGAAGTGAGAATTAGGGTTTCGAAGGAAAGACTGAAAGAGGCGCTGAAGTGAGTGAAGTGTGAAGCAGTGAAGTGAGATTGTGAGAAGTGCTGAAGTGGTGCCCGATAATTAGGTTAAAGGGTGTAGGGTTGGGCGGTTCGGTTAATGGGTTATGGGTTATTGGGTTATTGGGTTAGGATTAGTATATATATTAATATATATTGGGCCTGTAAAATCGGGTGGTCGGGCGGGTCGGGTAGGAAAAGCCCAAACCCTAACCGAACCCTATAGGCAGCCCACCAACAGTCGGGCCGGTTCGGTTGGTCACTTTCGGGTCGGGTAATCCGACCCAAAGCCCACGGATCGGATAAATCCGATCGGGTCGTTCGGGTTGGGTCGGGTATGCTCAGCCCTATGCACGACACCGAAATCGACGCTCCAGAATCATTCTCATTTCTTCCATGGTGTTATGATATGATCCTTACTCACTTTTATATATCCAACTTTTTATCGTTGAGCTAGGAATGGAGGATACTCAAAATCTAAAAAATGACCTCGACGGTCTATCTACTTTGAGCCCGTTTGGTAGCACGAAAATCGGCTGATTTGGTTGATTCTGCTGAAATTTATGAAGTTGTGGCTGAAGTGGCTGTTTTGGCTGTTTCTACTGATTTAAGTAAAAAATATTTTTAAAATATATTTTATTAATAAAATAAAGAAAAAGTTATGTTTAAAAATAGCTAAAATGGTTATCTACAGTAACTTCAGCTAATACAGCTAGAAAAGTAACTCTAACCTTACTTTTTATGCTTATTACACAATTCAACGCGCGAAAGTAAAAGTTACGTATTAGGTGAAAAAGTTGTTTGATAAGTCTCATAAGCCGAAAAAAGATGTTACCAAACGACCTCTTTATCTCACGTGATTTGTTCTCCTTGTCCCTACAAATGCCCCATATCTTCTTTGTCTGCCACGGGGTCCTCCACATCTGGCCCACACAAGAATTTTGCTACCACTGTTACACCTAAAATAGCCTTCTTCCATTACATCTATGGCAGTTCATAAATTGTACTCCTCAAACCGAAATCATAAATTTACCCCCACACCCCTCTCCATCCCCGCCGTCATATATGCGTGTATATATCTAAACGAAGCCAGATATATAGAGACAAGAAAAGGGCATATTAGTCAAATGATGATGAGTACTCACAGCTAGATCGGGACCAGAAGAGAAACAATTCAAGAAATGGAGGATATGAGGTGGGATTGGGGTGCCCAGAAATGCGCGGCGGCTATGGCGGCGGCAGTTTCCGGAGTTTTGCTGATGATGGTGGTGCAGAGGAGGTGGTGGCGGGCGAGGAAGCCGGAAAAGGAGGGGACGGTTCCTAAAGGGAGTTCAGGCTGGCCGTTCTTAGGGGAAACTCTCGACTTCATAGCCAGCGGTTACACGTCCCGCCCCGTCTCCTTCATGGACAAACGCAAATCTCTGTGAGTAATTGGATTCCTTCTCTTTGGTTTTTATTTTCGAAATGAACCAAAATTGGTTTTCGACAAACTCCCAATTATAATTCTTACTCAAGTTCCTTAATATTTGGCAACGTTTGATTGGTTGGAGAATTAGCCCGTTTGGTAATACTAAAATTGGCTGTATTGAACAATTGGATGATTCTGCTGAAATTTATGAAGTTCTGCCTGAAGTGGTTGTATTGGCTGAATTTGCTGATTTATGAAAAAATTATATTTAAAATTTTTGTTATTAATAAATAAAACAAGAAAATATATGAAAAAATAGCTAAAATGATCATCTACATTAACTTCAGCCAATACAGTCAGAAAAGTAATTCCAATCTTACTTTTTTTGCTTATTACACAATTCAGCGCGCGAAATCAAAAATTATGTATTTGATGAAAAAGCTGACTATAAGCCTGATAAGCCGAAAAAGGGGTCACCAAACGGGCTCTTAATAAAGTAAAAATTATATAAATACAATTTGTATAAAAGAGAGAATTAACTAAAATCCTTAAAAATGAATAGAATTTATTTCACTTTTGGCCATACGAGTTTTATGTCAATTCCACATTTAGTCCACGTATTTTATTTTGTCCACTTTTGATACTTGACTAATGATTTTTGATCAGTTGTGGTCCTTCTCCGGCGATTTTAATCACCAAAAACATTGCCGGAAGGATCATGTAGGGACGAAAACACAATATTCATGTATCAAAAGAGGAAAAAGTGAAAAATTGACATCAAGGGATCAAAACTGAAATTTATTCAAATGAATATAATAAAATTACTGGAACAATAAAATTTGAGTTGACCGATTATTCCTTTTTTTGTTGAAAACCGACCGATTGTTCTTTCTATGAAGCCTACACAAGATTCTCAACGTATGTGGGTGTGATATTTTCCTCTTTTGTGTATACGGAAAATATTTTAATTTTAGTTAATGGTACAAGACGTTGTCTGTGTAAGTGTTTTTGTTACGTTGCTTTTCAACCTTGCCGGATCAAATTTGTTTGATCATCATGTAGGAAATTCTAAAATGGTGACAATGATTGAATCTTTCAAAATTATTCTAACTTTTTTATAAATTAAGAGTCCACGTTTTTTACATATCAAACTTATCAATCAATTTTTTTGTATATTCTAAAAAACATACTCCATCAGTTTTCCATTAGTTGGCCCTATAGGTTTTGACACAAGTTTTAAGAGGAAAATAATAGGGGTGGTGTAAAAGGTGTAGTGGATTGTGTTTAAATGAAAAAGTAGGAAAGAGAATAAAAAAGTAGGAAAAAGAATTAGGGTAAATAGTTATATTTATTGAAAAAAAAATTCAAAAATAGAAAGAGGGACAAATATTAGAAAACAACCCAAAATGGAAAGAGAGACAAGTATTAGAGAACGGAGGGAGTAGTTCATTTTTTTTTTAAAAGAGGTAACTTTGGATTTTTCACGTTGAATGGTGTAATAATAAAAAAAAATAAGGTGGAAGTTATGTTTGTCGTCCGCCCTTGAACCAGACTGAGAATGTATCACCACTGTAGAAGCAATAACATTCGTTGATCCTGTAATGGGTTTAACTGAGCCAATGACTGACAAACCAGACTTCTCATCACCTAACCTAAACTCAAGAAAATCTCTGCTCGGAAAAAGAACACGTCCAAAATAACATGCAAAACGATAGAAAAACACAAACTGAATGAAAAGGAATTAAAATAGATTTCACTCATCTTCTTCCAAACCCTATATTTGCTTGCACTCCATGGCGGCGGCTCAGGAGGGGGATGCGCCTGTCGTTCATCCGCCACAACCTCAACATCAGCTTTATCTAGATACAGTTCTTCTTCCTCTGCCCCAATCGCCATCGTCTTGTACTTGTCCACGAAGACTTTCAGGCCGAAAAAAGAAAACTCAAACGAATTTCCGAAACTCGTTTCCACCTCCATATCCGCCGACGATGCGGAGCTGCAGACCGACTAGCACCAATCCAAAGAGCACCGACGATCTACGATGCTAGATCAGACAACGCAGACGCACAATCCAAAACTCGGTACTACACCTGAGCGGTTAACACCGGAAACACCCCTAGAAGAACCCTAGGCGGCGGCGAAGATAGAGAGAGAGACTACTTGAGAGAGTAGTTCTTATAAATCAATTTTGTGTAAATGGTTAAAGTGCATAGTTTACACTTTTCTTTAATACTTCTTCCGTTCTTTTTTAGATGCAACAGTCAACATTTCACCCTTGCCAACGTACGTCTTTGACCGTAATTATATCTTAATCTCTAGGAAAAACTATCAAATAAGCCCCCGTACTATGCCGAAAAAGTCAATTAGGCCCTCGTACTTTACAAACACTCAGTTAAGTCCTCGAACTATTAAAAAACGTTCAATTAAGCCCTTTTGGTCGGTAAGTAACCGATTTCCCGGTTAAACGGCGACGACGGCGACGATGTGCTCGAACCCCAGCAACGGCGGCTATCGGGAAACGGGTTACATTTAATCGGGAAATCGGTTACTTAAAGATCAAAAGGGCTTAATTGAACGTTTTTTAATAGTTCGAGGACTTAATTAAGTGTTTGTAGAGTACGAGGGTTTAATCGACTTTTTCGATATAGTACGGGGGCTTATTTGATAGTTTTCCCTAATCTTTATTAGTAAAAAATATTTAAAAAATTAGATCTTGAAAATTTGTAATGAGATGAATTGAACAATATTTTTTAAAAAAAATAATTTTCATAAAATAATACTATAAAATGTAGCCAAAGTAGTATATGTGAATAGTGCAAAATTCAACATGTTGCGATTAAAAAGAGATGAAGGATAGTATAAATTTATCTTTTTTAGTATAGGTAAAGGATAGAGTTAAAGAAGTTTTTATTAAAAATGAGAAATACGATTGAACCAATATTTATAAAGTTGAATTCTGTTTCTGCTTCTTTTTAAAGTAAAAGCAGAATCAGAATCAGATTTTCAGAAGTTGGTCTCCCCCAACTTTTAAAATATTGCTTAGGAGTAATTTGGAGCACCCAAAAGTATTTCTACACTTTCATCCAAACACTATAATTTCTGCTTCCGTTCCATGAATGAACAGAAGCAGTTTTAAGAAGTACATCCAAACACCCCTTTAATAGGGAATAATTTCAACGAATTTTGACCCGTCAGTCTCAATTCGATTGACCATAAAATTAAAACACGAGGAGGTGCTGGCCGTGCTGCTGTTATTAAAAGACTGGATTTATATGGTTGTTGTTGATCTGAATTATAAAGTAAGAATAAAATAAGTATGATTTAGAACTACACAAATTTTACCAAATTTAGTATGAGACAATCTTAATGGGACAGTCTAAAGAGCAAAGATGATAATCTTAACGGGACGGAGGAAATATTACTTACTCATTAGACATTGTCAATTTATTTATGAAATAAGAAAAATAAAATTATGTAACTACAAATAGTTATTTTAAAGGGAAAAGATAAAATTTCAAGGCTATTGAGAAAATGAGTGGGCAAAGTGCAACAGAGGAAAGAGAGTCATATCTAACAACTAAATATTCCCCATTTTCCCTCAAGTTTAAGAATGTAATTACAAATTGACGAATTGTTCAAAAAAATAAATAAAAGACGTAGATGGATGAAGACGTAAGAATATTGAAATGAAGACCAGAAAACGACATTTCAAATACTGAAAATGAAGATTAGAAAACAACATTTTAAATGTTTAAAATGTCAAATGGGAAAGTTAGGACAAGTATCAGGTTGTGTTCTCAAAGTCTAAGTTTGATTTCATCTTATATGATACGTAATGATCTACTAGTATACAATCTTCTAAAAGAGGTTAGCTGATAATCGCCTAATCGAGAGCCAACTCAGTGCCTAAGTGGCTATGTGGGCGCTTAGAGAAACTAGTCGGAAACATATAAATTACAACTTTATCAATAAATTTATATAAATATAATTGGTAATGTTGTGTTTGTATGTGTATAAAAAATACACACATACACATTAACATACATGAATGATAGAGTTGTCACATTTAATAATATATTATACCTACTCACTTAACTTGATTATGTAATAAATATTGCGTATTATTAATTAATAATAAGACTTAAGATTATATATAAACACATATAGTTTTTATCTTAATCTACAACTAGTAGCTTTCTTCAAGTCATATGTGTTATTAAAGTTAAAAGTACATATATCTCTTAGAATACTAAAATAAAAAATCGACATAAAGTGTTCGACAAATCTAGGTGCCTAGGCGGCCGATTTAACGCTTTGGATGGGTAACTAGGCGCCCTAGGCGGCCATCTAATTCACCTAGGCCCCAAATGAATCAGTTGGAGCTCCTAGACTAAAATCGGGGTGCCTGGCCACCGCCCAACGCCTGGACGGGGATTAGTGGTGGACTGGGACGGGTCGGCCCGACCCGGGACCTGGCCCGATATTGTGCAGGCCCGACCCGGGGATTCAATAGGCGGGCTACGGGATCAACATTTGGTGATCCGTGCCCAATTATTTTTTTTTTAATTTTTTCCCATTGGGCTGACTGCTAGGTGGGTGAGGCAGGGCAGTTTGTCGGGGTGGGGGGGTTGGAATTAATTCAAAAAGACAAAAAAAATATGCTTAAGGCCCGACCCGGTCCGAACACGACTCGGTCCCGGTACAAACCCGGACCGGTACCGGGCCTGAAGTTTTTGAGCCTAGAGCCTGCCCAGTCCCAGCCCGAAGCCTGACCCGACCTAGTGTAACTCTAGCGGGGATTACTCAGGCGCTTAGAGCGATTTTTAGAACATTGCTAGTATATAACGAGAGTAGTATATAGTATTAGTTTTATTTTTATACACATTTTTGACAATGATGTAATGTGCGGAGTACGTAGTATTTTTCATATCATAATATACCAAATCATCACCTTCTTTTAGATTATTATTATTGTTTGAATGTTGAATTAGTATGTACTCTCTCCATTCTTCAATATTTGTCTTTTATTCCATTACTTTTTGTATTAATTTGTCATTCTTTCCATTTTTGAAAAGCTTTTTAAAAAAATATACCTATATATCTGCACTTTTATTATCATTGTCTCTTTTTACTTTTTACATACAACTTTCTATTTTATATTTTATGATTACTTTATTACTCTTAATATATTGTTTTTTCTACTTTTTCATTTACCCTATACCATCTATACTAATCCTACTATTTCCTCTTATACTCGTGCCAAACCCTAAGGGAACAAGTAATAAAGAATGGAGGGAGTATATTACACACACCAATGAATATCTTATAAAAGTAATAGCGTAATTAGAGATTTTATTTTTTAAATTTCAGAACTAAAACAATATTAATACATCCGGTCTTCTGAAACTTTTGCATCTTTGACTTTTCAAGTTAATGGTGGTAAATTTTGAGTAATGATTTTGATTAATACTATTCGTTTTTTAAATATATGCAACACATTGTATTTTATATTATTCATATCCTCTACTTAAACTATATTAGAAATTCATGCTCTGAAAAATATTGTTGATTCTCTCATTTTCAATTTTTTTTTTAAATTTGTTTAATAATAAAGTGTATCAATGATCACAGTTGTCTATTGAGACAATTGTGACAATATTTTTTGTGAAAGCTATAAGTTTTATACTTTTATTAAAGTATTTTAACACTAAATATTTTCATATCATTTTTATTTTATAAATAATTTCATATAGAAAATATAGTCATTCAAAGATGAATTGCAGTGACCAAAAACTTTACGGATGTCACATTTTATGGGTCGGAGGGGACCATATCATACTTGACTTACGAAATTATATTTTCAGAATAAAAAATAAATAAAACTTTTTAATTAATTTTTTGATGAATTGTATTTCCAAATTATTAAAGTTTACTTGATTGAACATTTGAACATGAAACAATCAAATTGGAGTGGACCACATCATACTTGACTTGCATCTCACATTAATAGACTACATATAAGATCAAACATAATTCTAATAGAAGAGACACAATTAGACCTATCAGACTTGGATAAATTAGACCAAATCAAACAGAGACTACCATTAACCAAATTCCACTAGGTACAAGAAGGGACCAACCATATTATAGCTGACATTAGGGGTAAAATAGCTTGAGGTACACACTTTCATACACGCTAGTACACACTCATGTTTGTGTAGGGTTTTTTGTTGTCTGTATACAGACATACGTTATGTCTGTATACAGACAACAAAAAACCCTACACAAACATGAGTGTGTACTAGCGTGTATGAAATATGTGTAAGAATAGAATTTTTGTAAAATATTTGTACCATATGTGTAAAAAGTTCATGAAGAAATTGTGTAAAAGAACTCTCTAGACTAATCCACCTCACCATATGTCCTAAACTTCTACTCCGTAATACGAAGTACAATTATTGGTATGGACGGAATATTTTGACTTACAAGTCTGTGGTATGACTTTGTTGTATACCAAAGAAGATAAAAAATTCCACCCACTCTTCGTCCTACACTCCTATTTGAAAACAAATCGGTGGGCGTAGTTCAACTGGTAGCGAGAGAGTGTCACAAGGGTTAGGTCTCGGGTTCGAATCCCGGCAACTGCGATAAGGGGTTACTATGCTGAAAAATACATAGGGCCTCTGCATGTACCGGGGACGGAGCCCCACTCTCTATCTGTCAGGTTGTGATTATAGTCCAATTTACATCCTCCCATCGTGCTGTCCGGTCGGTGTTGGGGGGCCTCAGGGATGGGGTGTCATCCTTTCCTATTTGAAAACAAGAAAAATGATACCTAAACCTCAAGGTCTCACTACCAATTTAGGAAAGATGTAAATTGGAATTTAGTTTTTTTTATGGTAATTGGAATTTAGTTATAAATTGATAGATAACGAATGAGACATATGTATTTGAAGCATTATTCTAAATGGTGTGACAAGACGCCATTGTGAAGTTTAAACTAAAAAAAAACGTTTTAGTTTTCTTTATGGATAATTGTTATTAGTGGTGGACATATTGATTTGATTTAACTGAATCGAATCGTACCAAACCTAACCGAAATCGGATCATGTTCAATTTGATTTGAGTTTGGTAACGTTTCTTTCAAATCGTATTAAACCGAACCAAATCAAAATCGATAAAAACGAACAAAAGCGAACCGAACTATAAAAATTCAATAAATCCTTCATATATTATTAAAAAAAATTCAAACCGAATTAAAGTACTAAATTGAACTGAATCAAACTGAAAAATAGTATGATTTTTGTTTGATGATAATTCTCCCAACCCGTCCCAAACCTAATCGAAACCGATAAAAACCGAATTGAAAATATGTCTACCCCTAATTGTTTATGAGAATATTACCCGATATAAGACCAAAAAAGTTTGAGAATTCCAAAATAGGACTGACATGTTTTTATTCCCAAAATAGGACTAATTACTGCCATATTTCGGCAGTACCAGACTTCAAACATGACAGTATTTTCCAAACTTGGCAGTAATTTTTAGGAATAAAAACATGACAATCCTATTTTGGAATTTTCACACTTTTTAGTCCTATTTCGGGTATTTTTCCATTGTTTAATTTATCCCTAATTGTTTAGTCCATATTTTATTTTAAAAACATCTTTAATTTCAAATTCTGAATTTATAAAGAAAATGTTTTTCGGACTTCGTTAATCAGTTAAGATTTTCTCTAATTGAGGAGTAGGCATGGGAAGGTATTCAAGACGCATCTACTGGGAAAGCCGGTTATAGTGTCAACCGATTCAGAGGTGAACAAGGTTATTCTGCTCAACCAGGGCAATGTCTTTGTCCCATCTTATCCAAAATCCGTTAGTGACCTGTTTGGGAGCAATTCAATTCTACAAATGAACGGAGCTCTGCACAAGAGACTTCACGCAGTTATCGGAAGTTTTTTGAAATCGCCGCTGCACAAAGCCCGTATCACTGCCTACATTGAGAACAGCGTCCGCCGGTCGTTGTCGACATGGGCGGATGAAGAGGGCAGCGTCATTTACCTCCAAGATCAGGCCAAACAGGTCTCTATCTCTATCCCTGTCTATAGTCTATACCTGATCTATTCCCTACCCCTATCTCAACCCACATGCATGAATTTAATTTTTATTTCTATTACGGAGTATTTGGGGGGCCCTTTTCCTAAGAGTCACTCTCATTACTTTAAAATTTATTTTTGTTCACCAAGAGAGTGCAATTTTTGTTTAAAAAGGGTGATGATCACATGATCACGGATCGATGGGATTGGGATCCTCCGCCCGACTAGGAGGATGCCTTGCGCATCGGACGGTCGGGCAGCGGCGAGAACGTCCTTGAGATCAGCAAAAATGTGGACCCCAAGATCTACGGCCGTTGAATTACTGATCGGACGGCTGTCCCTAAGTAAGGCACTCTACCTTGCTCTAAAGCAAGGCAGAGGCTCCAGATCCTGGATCGATCACCCTTTCTTTCTTTGGTTATCCCATGGCATTCTAATTTTTTTCTTTATCAAGTTGTCATAATTCTTACTACGGGTATCTATTTACCGCCTTTGTCTCTTAAAACTTTGTCATCTTTTCTTTTTGAGACGTCCTAAAAAACTTTGTCACTTTCTCTATTAATCAATTATTTTGTGGTTTCTGTCATTCCTCTCTTTTCTGCACAAACCTCAACATCACAGTTTTTACTTGAGATATTACCCGAAATAGGACTAAAAAGGTTTGAAAATTCCAAAATAGGACTGTCATGTTTTTATTCCCATAATAGGACTAATTGCTGCCATATTTTGGCAGTACCTGTTAACATGACAGTATTTTCTAAACATGACAGTAATTACTCCTATTTTGGGAATAAAAAACTTGGCAGTCCTATTTTGGAATTTTCAAACTGTTTTAGTCCTATTTCGGGAACTTTCTCTTTTTACTTTATTATTTCGCGTGACGGTCAACTTTGACAAAGTTTTAAGAGACGGAGGTTGTAGATAGTATAATCTAATTGTTATTAAAAATATATTAAATCAGATATTTTTTATGATATTTCCAGTAGTACTAATATTTCATATAAATAATACGGAGTATGAAAAAAGTCTTTTAAATACCTATATTTAGCTAGATTTTTTAATACCGAAAAATCATAAAAATAAAAATTATGTTATTTTTTAAAAAAATGAAACACAAATAAAAAAAATATTACGGCAATTGTAAAAATAAAACGAATTGACTTGCCTCATGGAAACCTATTAGGGAGTGAATATAACCCTCATTTAAAAGAGTGAACAATATTGCTTTCCCTTTTAGACCGTGTCCACCAACATTTAAACTCTTTTAACAGAGTGAAGTGAACAAAATTGCTTTCCCTTTTTGACCGTGTCCACCAATATTTAAATTTGTTAAAATTGATGAAATTATGAGTTGAACGGATTAATTTGTTATATGTTCTCAATTGTAATTTTTTTATTTAAATATACTTTATTTCAATAGTCAAGCAAAGGAACAAATTATATAAAAATAATAAAAATCGCTATTTTCACAAATTCAACTATAAAAGTAATTTTCAATCTTACTTATTTTGACCTTTGCATAATTCAATGAAAGAAATAAAAAGTTAAGTATTTGTCAAAAAAGTTGACAGATACGAATGGCAAGTCAGAGATAGGGTTTATAAAACAGGTTCTTTTTTAAATTGGCTGAATTTGATAAAATTAATGAATATATTGCTGAAGCGGCTAAATTTGTTGAATAATGAAAAATTTATATTCAAAATACGAGTATGTTTTATGAAAAAAGTAAAGAAAAAATATAATAAAAAACTAAAATAGTCATTTGCGGTAATTCAACCAATTTAGTCAGAGAAATAATTTCAACTCACTTATTTTAATTATTTCATAACTCAACAAATTAAATAAAAAATTATGAGTTGGATAAAAAGTTGATTGATGAATCTGATAAAGTAGATACTTAATCTCTCTTAAGCTAAAGTATATTTTAACGGTTCACACATAATAGGTTACTAGCAAAAATATTGATTATTTTTTGTCTACAAGATTGCTTTCGAGGTTTTGGTCAAAGTGTTATTAAGTGTCGATCCCGGTGAAGATTTGGATTTCATGAAGAGAGAATTTGAAGAATTCATGAAGGGATTGGTTTGCCTTCCTGTCAAGCTCCCTGGAACAACGTTGTACAAATCCCTTAAGGTATAATACTTCCTATTAAACAAAAGATCTTGTTGGACGCACTTTTTTTTATGTATATCAGTACACATGTCGAAAAACAGAATATTTCGTGATTTTGTGAATAAGATGTTCACAAACATATATGTTCACCAACTTAATTTGATTATCCATACTTCGTAAGAAAATAACTAAAATGATCATACAATTCACGTATACTAATTTTGATTATTATGTCATTCAACGCGCGAAATCAAATGTTATATATTGACAAAAAAAGTTGTCTCATAAGCTAAAAATGTAGTTCTGAAATGGTTAACAAATTTGATGTGATATATATGTTCAGGCCAAGGGGAAGCTGTTGAAACTTGTGGCGAAGATGGTGGAAGAGAGGAAAATGGCTATGGAGGAGAGAACCAGTGATAATAAAATGGCGCCGGCAATGGACGCAATCGACGTCCTCTTGGATGAAACGGGAGAATCAGACGGGACGACGAAGCAAAGCTTGAAGAGCGATTTCATCACCTCCAACCTCATAGAGATGATGATTCCCGGAGAGGAGACTTTACCGACGGCCATGACTCTCGTCGTCAAATTCTTAAGTGACAGTCCTGTCGCATTAGCTCAGCTAATGGTACGTAGTACGTACTTCTAGCTTTCACCAATTAATTATATAATGAGTAAATCTTTTAGAGAAAATTTTCCAAATAGGAGTATAAACTATAAACAATACGAGTATAAAATACGAGTAAATAATTTTGAAAAATTATTTCATTTTTATAGTATATATTGCCATAATGGACTATATTTTCTAAACATGGCAATAATTAATAATTACTCTTATTTTTAGAATCAAAATATAATGCTCCTATTTTGAAATTCCAAAGCATTTTTATTACCATTTCTTAATCTTAAATGAATTAATTGATTTTCATGTCCTTTTTTATTACTTTGTTCCTTTGAAAATTGGTGTCTACTTATTGATATGTAATTAAATGAGAAAAAATATAGAATCATATACTTCCAACATAAATTTGATTCATTGTTTTTTATCCAGTCCAAATATCAGCTTATTTTATTCATATGTTAAGTGTCAATAATTCATTTTATTTCTCGGCCTCTACATAGTTTTTGGCTAAATAATTTGTATTTACTCAATTCCGTGATACGTTAAAATTATAATCAAATTAGAGCCAGCATGATAATTCTGAAATTGGTTAAGTTGGCTGAATTCGCTAAAATTCATGAAATCTTGGTTGAAGTTACTAAATTGGTTGAATCTGATGAATTAGTCTATGCATAAAATATTTAAAATATATGTTATAATTAAATAAAATAAAAAAAGAGATACACGAAAAATAGAAAAAATAGTTCTCTATAGTAACTTAGGTTAGTCAGAATAATAACTTTACTTATTTTGATTATTAAACAAGTTAGCACGCAAAATCGAAAACCACATATTTGATATATATACAAAATTAAAGCCCGTTTGGTGAGCCTTTTTTTGGCTTATCAGTCAACTTTTTCACCAAACACGTAACTTTTGATTTAACGCATTGAATTGTGTAATAATAACTTTTGATTTAGCGCACTGAATTGTGTAATAATAAGAAAAAGTGAAGTTGGAGTTACTTTTTAGCCGAATAATTTTAGCTATATTTTCATATAATTTTTTCTTTTTTTTTATTAATAAAATATTTTTAAATAATTTTTTTTATAAATCAATCGAATCAACCTATACAGTCGCTTCAGCCAGAACTTCATAAATTTCATCAGAATCAGTCAATTCAGTGGATTTTAGTGTCATTAAACGAGCTCTTAATTAATTGCCCCCCATGCAAAAAAAACCTCCTCCCCTAATTTCCTTGGGCAACCGGGGTAGTTCGTTAGCATCGGAAACTGTCCGATGTTGGCGGTGGCAGAAAGTGGCGGCTGGCGAGTGGCAGCATAACCCCAACGACTAGCAACGGTAGTGTCAGAAATTTTGGGAATTTCGTACATATATTTTCGGTATCTCAAAAGGAGGTTTGGCATTGTAAAGAAGGTAACACTTTTAGAGGTATGAGTGAGGAGGTTGGGCATTGTAAGGGAGAAGTAGTTGAGGTCTTTGATTAATATAATATAATTAGTTTCCTTTTTTTAAAAAAAATATTTTCGATATAGACTGGGCATTTAAACAAAATGGGTAAAAGAAGCATTATGGTCTTATGGATATGGACTTTTAACGTCATTTTCATTTGGTGTGTGCACGTGGGGTTTCCTCATGGATGAATTATGGGATTAACCCGTACACAACCTCTATTGTTTTGTCGGTCTCCAATTCTCCCCTAAGGGAAACGGGAAACGGGAAACGGGAAACGGGAAACGGGTAACGGGAAACGGGAAACGGGAAACGGGAAACGGGAAACGAGAAACGGGAAATGGGAGAAACGTAATTTCTAAAAAATATAGGACACGAAACGTGTGACAAACGCGTAAATATTATAAAATATAAGGATATATTTATAAATATTTTTTAATATATGTACACAAGTTTTTCCATATGCACATGTTTTTTTAATACAATTTGTTTAGTAACCAAATAATAAAATCACTCTACATGTTCGAATTTAGATATTATTTCATATTAGTACATAATTAAACATAAAATGTACGGAGTAATACATTTCTAGCAATACATTGCGTTACGAAATGTAACAAGTGTTGCCGTTGCGAAATACCACAAAAATTCACTATAAAAAATTATTTTCCACTACATAATCTTTTGAAAAAGAAAAAAAATTGGAATCCGAGGTTTCCGAAACGTAGTGAAACGGGTTTCCAAATTTTTCTTAATTACGGAAATGGCCCCGAAACGAGAATTTGAAGTTTTCGAGTTTCCGAAACGCTTCCGAGTTTCCGAAACGTGGAGACGTGAGCCATGGAGAGTTTCCGTGCTTCCTAGATTCTCCCCAATGGGCCCCTTTTATTCGAGCGGAAACCCTAGTTTTACCCTTATGCACAACTTCTTATTTCATTTTCTCCAAAATTGTAGTAACTATGTCCTATTAATATCGGGACATAAGAAGGAGCTGCTGTAGTTATTAAGAAAAATGTGTTTATGTGGTTAATATTGAATTGATAAAGTAAGAATAAAGTAAGAATGATTTCAAATCGCACAGATTCTACCAAATTTGGTATGTGCTGACTATCTTAGCGGGACGAATGGAAAAGGAAAAATGAGACAATCTTATCGGGATAAAGGGAGTATTATTTTATTAAATTATTTTCAAATTTTGTTAAAGATTGTATTTCTCTTGGAGTTACATCTCGAGGGGCCTGTCAGGAATGTAATTTTTAACTATTGAATTGCGAATACTATATGGGTTCAGCTCCTCTCCATTTCTTTATCTTCATTTCCCATCCATTTCTTTTTTACTTCCTATCTATCTCTACCTTTTTCTCTATCCTTCTCACCAACCTACCTCACTTTTAATTTTCTCCTCTCTATATCTCTCATAATAGAACTCTGGAGAGGATCCAAATTCATATTATATATAGTTTCCTTTTAATTTCTTTGTCATATTAACCTTTTGTTTTTATTATATGGACCCTTGTATATCCTCTTTTCCATCATTTGCAATGGAGCCAAAGATTCATTATTTTTTGGTTTGAACATATGATGGAATAAAGCAAAATGGCTCACTAAACTGTCTGCGCTTCTTTGTTATGAAGCGACAGTTAGTCCATGCAATTTCAGACGCGATTTTCACTATGGGTCATCCGGAAACAGTCTCTCTGTGCTTTAATACAGGGGTAAGACTGCGTACATCCGACCCCCCTACCCTTCACCGTAGGTGGGAGCCTTTATGGCACTGGGGTAAATGAAAATATAAATTAAATGATTCTTGTATATCCTATCTAAACCCATACGTACTTTGTTCATTATTAATGCAACCTTTTTAGAGACAATGTTCAAATTGACTTTCTATAATTTTCTCAATCCACCACTTAAGTGTCTATATTTAAAAAGGTCATACGGAGTATATTGCTATACCAGTTCAAAATGTTCGGATTGATTGTGTTTTCAAAGTAAACGTGCTTATATAATTCCTTTTTAAGTGTAGAAACTCATAATGATGGATTTCAACCTTTTCCCTATTTTTATGGTTGGATATCACGATGAGTAATTTTGTTCATTCTCTTACAACTTGTACACAATTAACTGACAAATAAGGCTTTGAATTAAACACCACTTCTTACTAAAGCTATTTTTAACGAAAATAATACTCTGTATGCTGTAAATCTAAATTTTGATATTTTTTTCTCATTTGGATTGAATATTTTGTATGTAACAAATATGTTGTTTTGTGTTTCTTGTTTGCAGGAGGAGAACGTAGAATTACGAAAGCTTAAACTGAGTTCCGGGGAGGAATATGTTTGGACCGATTACATGTCTCTATGCTTCACTCAAAATGTACGTCCATTGCAATTTGCAAACACTTTGAGCCCGTTTGAAAGCACAAAAATCGGCTGCTTTGGCTAAATTTATGATGTTCTGGCTAAAGTGACTGCATTAGTTGATTCTGCTGATTTAAGAAAAAAAATGTTTTTAAATATATTTTATTAATAAAATAAAGAAAAAAAATATATGTAAAAATAGCTAAAATGATTTAACTTCAGCCGACACAGCCAGAAAAGTAACTTCAACCTTACTTTTTCTGCTTATTACACAATTCAGTGCGCGAAAGCAAAAGCTACGTGTTTGGTGAAAAAGTTGTCTGATAAGCCGAAAAAATGGTTTGCCAAACGGGCTCTTTATTTAGTTACTCAATCTGTTCCATTTTATTTATCATAGCTTTTTCTTTAGTCCTTCTTCAGTAATGTTTAGTTTGCTAATTTAGAATGACTTTAATTTATTGTTAACATTTTAGAATGATTTGATACTTCGGATGTTTTATTCTGCTAACAACTTTGATGTTTCAATGATTTGTGTTCAAAAAAAAAATCCTGCTACAGTATTTTTTATAGTTTGGCATAGAAAGAAGCATCAATAAATTTTAGATTATAAGTACATTATTTTCTTACTTACGTAGTATTATATGATGGACATATATATGGACTAGGTGATCAGTGAGACGCTACGGATGGCAAATATTATCAATGCAGTGTGGAGGAAAGCCCTGAAAGATGTCGAAATCAAAGGTATTCATCCTCTATGCCCATATGAATTGTGATGGAAAGAACCTATAGTCAAATCAACTTCATTTACTTCTAATAATGATGGATCATAATAATTGATTTAATGAAACATGTTGTTTCTGAGATTGGATATGAATGATTGAAAGGAGTAATTGCACTTGTAGGCCCAAGTCTTGCCCTTACAGAAATGCTGATCGCCTTTATTCAATTTTCAATATGTCATCCCTTGTTGTCTGAGCGTTTGTAAATGTGGTATTCTCCATTAAAACTGATCTAGTACTGTAAATTTGGACACTATAAAAAATAGTACTAAAAGTGACCCTGATTATTAATGTCTGTAAATGACCCTGATTATTTTAAGTTGAATTCTCAAAATAATTAAACTGCGTACCAATCTGATCCCGTTCGAAACTGGTTCGGGGTGGATATACTAAAAGTGTCACGTTTAAAACCGGTTTGGCGTCGATTTAGTTCTGCATGAAAACTGATTATCCTGTTTTAGGACACGTTAATCAATATGTTATCAACATTTAGTTCATTTTACCTTTTTTTTTACTCCAGGGGGTCAGGGGGAGGGGGGCTGAGGAGCCTAGAGTAATAAGGGCTGAAACTCACTCCATTGAGTTTCCAACCTTTTGTGCCTAGCGGGAGTTGAACTCGAGACCTCCCACTAGGCACGGTAACCTCACAACTAGCTGGGCTGGAATGCTTGGTTAGTTCATTTGACCATATACATGTTATATACTCCGCATGCATTTCAAAATCGTAATATAAATAACTAGGAAATGACAACGATAAACGTTCCCTAAAACCGTGCTGTTGTAGGACATTTGATACCAAAAGGGTGGTGTGTGCTTGCATCGTTGATATCAGTTCACATGGACGATGAAAACTATGAAAATCCATACGACTTTAATCCTTGGAGATGGGAGGTTTATTCTACATACATTGGTTCTTTCAGTATGGGACTTCATTAAATGGCATATATTGTTTAGCAATAAACTAAATTAAAGAACTGCTGCACAGAAGCCTGGAGTGAACATAAACAGCAGCAAGTTTACACCATTTGGTGGTGGGCAGAGGTTGTGTCCTGGCGTAGAACTCTCCAGGCTTGAGATCGCGATTTTCCTCCATCATCTCGTTACGACCTACAGGTATTTTTATTTCTTCTCCATTTCGCAGCAATGTGTTTTTTATCACTTGTCCTTTTGGTAGCACTCTTTTCTTGGCTCGCCATCTTAACAAAATTTCTACCGCATGGTAACACATTTCAATGCAAAGTTCTTTTTTGTTAAGAATATGTATAAGGCTGGATACTAAAGGGAGTCTATTGGATGAAGATGAATGGTGAAGGTAAACTTTATTTTGAGAAGGATGGAGTTTATTTTAACACATTTTTTGTCATGCTTAAATCATGATTAGATTGTCAGTTAGTTTAAAGCTATAATGCAAATAGCCAAACAAAAAAAAAGAAAATATAGATTCATGTCATTAGTGAATGAAATAAAACTTTCAATAATTTTTTGTTATGCTTATCAACATATTATAATATGTGATCTATGTTAAAGGCCAACATTTTTGAGTTGAAATGTGATTCGAATGTGTGATCTATGATTCCAACTTCTGGAGTGTCATATTGATCCCATCGAACTTCAAGGTATTTGGCTAAAACTTTCATTTATTACGAGTATAATTATGGTGAACAGGTGGGTGGCCGAGGAGGATGAAATCGTGTATTTCCCTACGGTAAAAATGAGAAGAAAGCTGCCCATCACCGTCACGCCAGTTGATCATCTTCTCTGATATTCAGAACTACCGAATTTTACTTGGCTGACCACATTTAAGCTTTTGGATCTTCGGTAACTTTATTATATTGTTATATACACAAACTTGAAAAGAAATTTTTTGTTTACCACTTACTCTTTGTACATTCGACACATACAAGATGGTTGATATACACTAAAAGAAAATTCTGGGATGACTAGTAAGGATCAATGGATTACAGGCAATGGCCAAGGAGTCAGAAAACCATTATAATGTTTTCACTTCGATTTGCTTCCGTCTTGATCTAGTCAGATTAGAGTTAAACATACTAGATCAGAAAATTGCAATTCAATTCAAGTAAAAACATCTTTAGTATATAGAAAACACTCATACAAGTAAGGTTGTATCAAGTCGAATCAGACTATTTAAATTAACATGTAAGTTTGAAGCCAACTTTTCCCCCAAACCTCTCATAGTCTCATCTATTTTTCTTACTTCGCATTTTACAGGCTCTAAAGTGAAGACTTAAGCAACCATCCAAATTCTTTGGAATTTGCATGATACTCTATATTTTTATATTATAGAGTAATGTAATTATAATTTGTATACTCTATAGTTTTTTCTTAAATGAATTCAAAATTACATTTGTGACAGAAATCAGAATTCATTCTTCCAGCGTTATTTAGTGTATGTTTGGATCAAGGAAGCTGCTAGAGAAACAACCAAAAAATGATGAAATTTATTTCAAACGTTGCCTTTACCTTGGAAATTGAGATATGAATCATATGATTATGCTCTTAAATAACAACAAATATGATATGAAATTACTATGCTCATTTTTCCTCCCATTTTTATCCTATTTTCTTTCCTTGGTATTTTATGGGTTCCAATTATACCCTTTATTATGTTAGACAATGAACCGCATTATCTGAACTTCAGTTGTACTTGCTTAAGTCTAAAACCAGTTGCAATCTGCCAATCTGTTTATAGAAGCAGAGCATTCAATGAGAGCTCCACGTTTTTCCATTTTCAATTCTGAATTATGTAAAATTGAACAAAAACTTTAGTTCCAAACTCTAAAGTATGCAAAAACAAAAAAAAATACAAGTTTCTGTTCAGAATAATACTAAAACCACCAAGGGTTTACGAACGTATTTAGGAGAGTACTACAATTTCGAAGCTGTCAAAAGGAGAATTTAACAGTATACTTGCTATAAGTATGATCCTTAACCCACATATTTGTGAGGTGTATATGTTTGGGAAGAGGGTTACTCCTTTAGCCCACCCCAATGCTATATTTGGAGCTCCAATAAGATAAGGGACACGAATAAGTATAAGACCAGGGATATGATAAAATATTCTCAATAAGTTGATTTTTGCGTTTCATTTGGTTTAGCTTGGAAAACACAAATGTGTATTTTATCATTTCATGTTTTTTAGGTTTCACATATATATAGTGGCTCGTAAAAAGTTTTGAGAGCTCCTAGGGCATCGCCTCTAGGCACTTTTCCGATTTCGATCTTCTTGGTCAAAGTTCGGTCGTTTCTCCTAGGGCTTGCGTCGCGGCCCGCGAGCCGCTAGGTCATGTTTCTGATTTCAATCTTGCCGATTGAAGATCGGTATTTACCCTCTCTGCTTCTCTCTTACTTGCTCGCCATCAGGTTTAGGAAGGGCTGGGGACGGGCGTTTCGGGAGAAAGCAGATTTGGATCGTGATTTTGTTCGGGTTATGGATTCCTCTCTTTTACCATTGCTTTCGATCGGGAATGTAAGCATGGATTTCGGGTTCATTCGGGCTATAATCATAGGGATTAAGAAGATGCCAATGGAAATTGTGATGGTGGGTTTGCAAGGAATGTTTCAAAATGAAGGATTGATGATCCGTCCTCCTCCTGAGCCACCGCCGAGGATATCGTTTGAAGCATGTATTTGGTTGCCCTGTCAGTTTTTTTTTCGTTTTATTCAACGGTCAGACTATTGTGTTTTGTTTTTACTACTCTTTCTGTTGTAAAATCTGTTGTAAAACTCTTGCGTTAGGTTTGGGGGTTGAGAGGTTTACGGTAACCCTCGTTAGGTTTAATTTGTCCAAGTTAGGTCTAGCGAGTTATATTGCTTTGTCAAAGGTGATTAACTCAGAGTCTCGGCCAAGGGTGGATGGTTACATGTGGTCCTTTCACGTTCTTGTATCCCTGCTAAATGTTATTTTAATGATATAAGCGCCTTACGATAAAAAAGTGTTTCACATATATATTTACCATTAAAAAAAAATGTTTCACATATATTTATATTTCTATCTTAAAATAATAGACATATATATTACCTCCAATTCCTAACATGATTTATGATCCACCCTTACATGGAGGATCCAAGATGCCAAGATGGTCTTACAAGAAAAAATATTTTTTTGACGTATCACTAAATACAACGTGTTGAACTAAGTGAAAAAAATTAATACTCTAAAAATGTACTAATAAAATAAAAGTTTGAACTTGCTTGTTGCTTTTAAGTTTTTGCAACTACACTCCTGAAATTGTTGGGGAAAATAAGACACCCGACTTTCATCAGGATCACGAGCTAAGAAAACTCTTGTATTTTTTGTTTTTTTAGAAAACTCTTGTATTATATAATTGAAATTTACAAGAGAGTGTACAAATGAACGAATATCTTACTTCACTCTTTCTATTTGGAAATACATCACTCTTCTTCACTTATAAGAAGCCTTTCTTTCTTACCTCAAATGAAAGGTTACAACATCTATTTACACTACTCATAAAGGGGTAGAATAGACTTTCCCTAGAATCTTCCACCTACCTCTCTACATTTTAGATTCTTTCAAGAAGACTTCATAAGCTTCCATGATCTTCTAGAAGAACCTAGATGACTTTACACTTATTTAGAACACTCTAGACTACTCTACAATCTTCCACACATTTCTAGTGACTTCTACATTTCTCTAGAGACTAGAGTATTCTAGAAGACTCCACAACATTCTACACACATCTAGATAGTACTATATTTTTCTAGATAACTCCACACTATTCTAGTGAATTCTACTCATCTCCACATAGTTCTAGAATTTAACAAAGTATTTGGAATATTGAATTACATCCTAACAGTTCCTCCCTCAATTCACATTTCCAAATATTTCAGTGAACTTAGAAAATTTCACTTTCTTTTCCTTGACTCCTCTGATGCATCCTCTTTGCACTACAATGCCTTCCAATAAGCAATAAACATTCTCCTCGTTTTTCCGTCCTCTCAAGATCAAGCGTCTTCCCTTAAACACCTTGCACCACTTATTTGTGCCAAAATACTTACACCCCTCTAATGTCCACCCAACGAGATAACATTAGCTTTACGCGAAGGCATGTGCCTCACATTGTGGAGAATGTGGTTTTTACCATTATGAAGCATCATCTTTATGCTTCCAGAACCTTGAACCTTCACCTTCTCTCTGTTAGCTAAGTTGAAGTGACTGAACTCTCCATTTGTGTTCAAGGTGTCAAACATGGCTTGATCTCGACATATGTGCATTGAGGCAACGCTATCCATCACCCACTTAGATTTGGCAACCTCTTCACTTATTGCTAAGTAAACATCACCACCATCTTCATCGCAGATCACATTGGTATGGGAGTCACTGTCATCCTTGCTTCGAGATGCCTCCCTAAACTTTTTCAAGTCCTCCCTCAATTCATGACATCTGGCTTGAATGTGACCCTTTTTCCCACAGTAATAACACTCTAGCAATGTCACTTAGATCTTGGCGAGGTTGAGACTTTGATCTCCATCTAGGGTTACCTTGTCCTCTTGATAGGTTTCTTCCTCGTTCTCGATCTCGTTCTCCCACAGCTAGTACGTGATCTCCACTTGTGTTTACATTGTCAATAGCATCCTCTCACTCTCACGCAAAGCTGTCGTCACCTCAATAGTTTACAAGTGCCTAATGTTTTAAGAAAAATTAATATTTTAATTGTATGTACTATAATTCAATCAAGTTGTTGTCTAAGAAACTATATGGTGCTACTATTATATTTTATATTAGTAATTATGTATTTAGTACGTAGTATAAACTTAATTAATAAGTAATGTATAAATGGTTCTTGATCGGGCTTACTTGGAGTTCACAGGCTTGACCGCGATGGGTTCTAACTATCAGGAGAAATGGATCGGGTCGTGTTTAAAATACTCTACATTTTGTCCATCCCTTCAAAAAGTGAGTTGGGTTGACTCATGGCCCATATGGGTCGGACCAGCTGTTACCAAATGAGATGGGCAAGCTGTCACGGGTTCATGAGTCCATGTAGGCATGGACCCGGGCCGGGCCGGTTCCGGTTCCGGGCCGGGCTCGGCCGGGCTTTTTTTTTGGGAAGGAAGGCCCGGGACCGGCCCGGGTAACCACCGGGTCCGGTCCGGGTCCGGGCCGGGCTGGGCCGGGCCTCCGGTTCGGTCAATTTTTTTTTTTTTTGCTTTCCTAACCCCCCCCCCCCCTTACCCCCCCAAACCCCTCCTAACCATCAAGCCCAACTCAGCTAACCCCAAAAAATGAAAAAAAATTAAAAAAAAAAAATCAATTCGGCCCGGGCCCGGGCCCGACCCGGCCGGTTCGCCAAAAACAAGGCCCGAGCCCGGACCCGCCCCCCCCCCCCACCGGGCCTAGGCCCGACCCGGACCCGGACCCGGACCCGAGAACCGGGCCGGTTCCGGGCGGCCCGAACCGGGTCCATGCCTAAGTCCATGTATTAAATGATGAAGTCTAGTTAGTTGAAATATAATCAACGGTGCTTCGTATACATGCTGAACTCATACACGCTATATGTGCACTATGTTTTAACAGTGCATAGACATTTTTTCTAATAAACTGTCTTTGATATACATAATTCATTTTAAAAACTGATAACAAATTGTTTGTGCATAAACAAAATAAAAGTTGCTCAATATATGACCAAAAGATCTCCAAAGTGCAGAAACAAGGCTAAGTATATTTTATTCCTAAAATATGACTCAATTAATCTTATTAAAAAAATAAGTTGACTAAAATCCCCCAATAGAAGTAAATGAGTCTTATTTTGGGAATAAAATAATGAGTCTATTTAAACTCATTGTTTTAGTCTTATTGAAACGTCTTAGTGGTTCAAAAAGTCTTCATCTAAACAATTACGTAGTATATAAAGTTATAGAAGAATCTAATCAAATAATGACGTATAGAATCTGCCATTACAATTGAAGATTAAGAAATGTATTCAAATTTTAATGTGTAATAGAAGAGAAACTTACTGCGTAATGTGCGGGTTTGTGGGGTGTGGGGCCATAAAAATCAAAAGCTTCATTAGCTGGCGGTTTGAATGTTCAAATTCTGCTTATAATAAATAAAGCTCTAAAAGTCTATAAGCTTGTGATTATATTTGACAACATTATGTTGGTATTTGAATGTTACTCCGTATATATTACTAGTATATGTTTATATATAATGATATGCACTTCGTGTTTTTTTGTGCTAATGAGATGTGTGAATTGATTTTGAAATATTGGAAGAAGTCCATAAAAAAAATTGGAAATATAAAAGTCAATAACAATGTAAACGCTCTTTTATTAAATTTAAAGTGTTTAAATGTAAGTATAAATACTTGAAAAATCCTACGTTTCACAGACAGAGATACAGGGGATACAACTATACAAGTACAATAAAAATGCCATTCCTCTAAAATGCAGGAAATTTATACTAGTACATATTAAAGAATAAGTGCTAATAATTTGTTAATTAATAGAATTACACAATAATACTTTATATGGATATACATAATGCAT